GGATTGTGGGACCCTACCCAGAGAAACAGCGACGCCAGAGATGGAGGCAGAGATGATGCATGGAGAGGATTGTAATCACTGCAATGAAATGAAATACAATAGGATGAATGTAAAGCTGATGTTCTCCCATGTAAATTATCATTCAGTTCACACACACACACACACACACACACACACACACACACAAAATGAACCGGTCAATGCTCAACTAAGGAGCTTGCTCCATCCATTCCACACATCAACCTGGTATTACAGTAACCCCAGGAATGAACGGTGCATCCCTCTCTCAACCAGTTCTTAAAAATCAATTAATTCCATTTGCTATGTCTTACTCTTGGAGCCCTGGTATGGCACTCTAGGATAAGCACTTAATAACAACAGAAACCATTTCAAGAGGTGGCATATGGTCAAGAATCGATGGTATTGAACAATGAGCTTCAGGCTGTACTAAAGGCATTGATGAAAGACAAAGCTCCAGGAATTGATGGAATACAAATTGAGGTGTTCAACAAACTAATGCTGGAGACACTCACTCATCTATGCCAACAAATGTGGAAGACAACTACTTGTCCAATCAATTGGAAGAAATACATATTTGTGTGCATTTCAAAGGGAAAAGTGACCCAACAGAATGCGGAAATTATCAAATAGCCTTATTAATACTATGTTGTTGTTGTTGTCAGGTAGGTAAAGTTCTATTGAAGATAATTCAAAAAACATCTGCAGCAGTACATCTACAAGGAGCTGCCAGAAATTCAAACCAGATTCAGAATAGGACATGGAACAAGGGATATCTTTGCTGATGTCAGAGGATCTTAACTGAAAGCAGATGTTTACTTTACTGAAAGCAGATGTTTCTGGTTTACAGACCAGAAAGATGTTTACTGACTATGCAAAGGCTTTTGATTATGTGAATTACAATAAACTATGGATAACAGTGTGAAGAATAGGTATTACAGATCACTTCATTGTACTCATGAGGAACCTGTACACACTGAGAAGCAATTGTTCTAACAAGGGGATACTGAATGGTTTAAAATCAGGAAAGTTGTGCACCAGAGTTGTTTCTTTTCACTACACTACGTGGTGTTGTGGGTTAATAATGCTCCAGACTGCAAAGCCATTTGAACTACAAGGTCAGTAGTTCAAGCTCACCAGCTGCTCCTCGGAAACCCTATACAGGATCACTATGGGTTGGAACTGACTCAACAGCACTTAACAACAACAACAAATTTAATCTGTAAACAGAGCAAATAATCAGAGAAGCTAGGTTATATGAAGAACAACAACATGGCATCAGGATTTGAGGAAGACTCATGAACAATCTAATCTACTATATACAAATGATACAACCTTGCTTGCTGGAAGGAAGAGGACTTAAAAAACTTACTGGTGAAGATCAAATACTACAGCCTCCAGTACGGATTGCATGTCAACGTAAAGAAAACAAAAATCCTCACAACTGGACCAATAAATAACTCATGATAAAAGGAGAAAAGATTTAAGTTTTCAAAGACTTCATTTTGCCTGTATCCATAATCAACACTCATGGAAGCAGAAGTCAAGAATTCAAAGGATTCATTAGACAAAAGACCTCTTTGGTATGTTAAAGATATTAATTTGAGGACTAAGGTGTGCCTGACCCATGCCATGGTATTTTTAATAGCCTCATATGCATGTGAAAGTTGGACAATGAATAAGGAAGACTACAGAATAACCAATGCACATTTGAATTATGGTGTTGGCAAAAAATACTGAAAATACCATGGACTGCCAGAAAAGCAAACAAATGTGTCTTGGAAGAAGTACGGCCAGAATGTTCCTTAGAAGGGAAGATGGTGAGACTTTGTTTCTCATTTTTTAGCCATGTTATCAGGAGAGACCAGACCCTGGAGAGGGATATCATGCTTGGTAAAGTGGAGCGCCAGCGACAAAGAGGAAGATCCCCAATGAGGTGGATTGGCACAGTGGTGGTAACAATTGGATCAAAGAATTGTAAGGATGGCACAGGACTGGACAGTGTTTTTTTCTGTTGTACATAGGTTCACTATGAGTCAGAACTTACTTGATGACCCTAACAACAACAATACTCCAAGTCATATTTTGGCTCTTGTTTCAATTTTCTTTATCTTCAACTTGAACATGCATATGAGCAATGAGAAGATATGCTCCACGGCCAATCCTCAGCCTTGATATTGATGACACTGAGCTTTCTCCATCATCTCTTCCCACAGATGTAGTCAATTTGATTCCTGTATATTCCATCTGGCAAGATCCATGCACATAGTCATCATTTATGTTGTTGGAAAAAAGTATTTACAATGCATAAGCCATTTGTCTTGCAAAATTCTATCAATGCAATCTCCAGCACTGTTTCTATCATTAAAGCCTTATTTTCCAACTATAGATCCTGCCTCTTTGTTCCCAGTGTTCACATTCCAATCACCAGTAATTATCAATCCATCTTGATTGGATGACTGATCAGTTTCAGATGGTTTCAGGTTTCCACGGAGCAGCTGGTAGGTTTGAACTGCTGACCTTGTGGTTTGCAGCCCAGTGCTGATCCTTCAGTGCCACAGCAGGAGTAGTAGGTGATATAATCCTATCAAAAACAGCCCTGTCCTTTCTTGCCTGTCAGTTTGTTGTACTGTTGTGGTTTGTGTGATGCTGGGAAACAAGATGCTCTGTCACCAGACAGGGTTCAACGGAACTTTCAGACTAAGACTGACTAAGAAAAAGAAAAAGAAGGTTCGCTTCTAAGTGATTACCCACTTAAAACTCTTTGAATAGCAGTGGAATACTGTCTTAAGAGCACTCAAAATATGACTGGGGAAACACTGCCTCCTCAAAGTAAAGTTGACCTTAATGATATGAATGGAGCAAAATGTTCAAAACCTTCATTTGTTGATGAGGCACTACTCAAAGTGAGAAGAAACAGCTTCAAACATCCATTAATAATTAAAATATGGAATGTACATAGTGTAACTCTAGAAAGTTAGAAGTCATCAAAAATGAAATGGGATGCAAAAAGATCAATATCCTAGGCATTAATGAGCTGAAATGGACTGCTATTGGCCATTTTGAATCTGACAATCATGTTTTACTATGGTGGGAATGGCAAACTCAAGAGGAAACATTGAATTCATCATCTAAAAGAACATTTCAAGATCTGTCTTGAAGCACAAGGAAGGTCATGCTTAATTCTATCAAAAATTTTTAAAATATCACATCCACAACTCATCTGAGTCCCACAAACAAACCTGGAAGGGAGGGATACTGAGTAGAGCTTCTACCCCATTTTTCCTGTGAGGAGGTCGAGGCACACACAGGGGTTGAGGACAAGGTCCTAGCTAGGCAGTAGTGGCTGAGGGATTAGGGTCTATTTTCCCAGCTCCCCATCCAGATCAAATCCCTCAGCAAGAAGACCCAGCAATGGTCCCTTCATTCTGTACAGCCACCAACCTTGCAGACCTATAGTCTGGAGATAACTCTTTCCAAGCCCCCTGCACCTCCAGACTCAGTCCACGGCTCTGGGCCTGCCCCACTCGCCCTGCTCACCCAGCCCCAGTTGGGGTAGACACCGACCTTGGGTCGCTTCCATCTGACAGTAGGCCCTGGGGCGCCTTTATAGTAGAGTGAATCATCAGTGGCTGGAAAGTTGGGGTCCTCAAAGAGCACCTTCTTTCTCAGGCAGGCCCGCTTCAGGGCCGAATAGTTCTGGCCCTCGTAGGGCTTCACACACGAGAACATGGTAGCTGCTGTCCTGGGGTGGAAGACCACGGCAGGGCAGTAGAGGGCTTGCTGGGCCTGTGGGCAGCTCCTGAGGTCCCTAGGAGGAATGAAAGGCAAGAGATTGGTCACTTACAGAGTACCTGGCCTTTCTGCTCTGCATAGACACCAAGCTAGTGACTCCCTGTGTGTCCCTTCCTACAGCCCTGTGGAGTGGGCACTGTCACCTGGTTGCACAGGCAAGAAACTGAGGGGCACCATGACATGAATTGATATTTGCATACCCATTCACAATAGCAAAAAGATGGAGGCAGTCTAGATACCCATCAGTGGAGGAATGGTTGACTAAACTTTGGTGCATACACACAATGGAATAGTACGCAACACTGAATAGTAACGATGAATCTGCAAAAAACTGCAAAACATGGAGGGACCTGGAGGACATTATGTTGAATGAAATTAGTCGACCACAAAGGGACAATATATTGTATGAGACTGTAAAAAGTAAAAAAAAAAATGCTTTCTTTTATAATTAACATTCTTTGATGGTTACCAGAGGTGGGATGGAAGGGAAAATTATTTGCTGAGTAGAATGTAGACATATGCTAACTTGGGTGAAGAGAAGGCAGCTAAAAAGGAAAGAGGAAAAAAAGAAAAGAAAAAGGGAAAAAGAAAATTTCTTTCTTCTTTTTTTTTTTCCCATATACTAGAAGAGAAACAATGTACACTTATTTTCTCATTAGGACAAACCATTGGGAGCGTTCCCACAAATAAAAAAAGAGAAAAGGAAACAACAGGAAAAGAAACGAAGAAGAAGAAGACAAAAAGAAAATTTGGAAATGGACCACTGTAATGGTTGTGTGGTGTGGGGAGTGTGGTTGGTATGGCTGGGCTGTACATGTGAAAATGGTTGAAATGACAAATGTTTTATTGTATCATTTTTAAATTAAGAAGAGAAAGAAACTGAGGCACAGAGATAGGAAGAGGCCCACCCAAAGACACACAGCTGATACACGATAGAGCAGGGAGAACCGACTGGTCTGACTTTACAGCCTAAATGTTCTGAGAAGACACCAGACTACAGGTCAAGAGCACAACTGTGCCAAGAGATGGGCCAGGCCACACCCACCTCCTTCCCCTCCAGTTCTGTTTCACCAGCCTTCCCTGACTAAAGGAGACCAGTCACTGACCCCTGCAGCTCAGTATCTGGTGGTGCACCACCAGGAGGGCAGCAGCATCTCCAGGTGCCCTCATTCACTGCTAGGCACCAGCAGGTCAGCTCTGACACATAGCGACCATGTGCACAACAGAACGGAATACTGCCCAGTCCTACAACAATCTATCTATGTTTGGGCCCACTGTTATAGCCAATGTGTCAATCCATCTTGTTGGGAGTCTTCCTCTTTTCTGCTGACCCTCGACATTATTAAACATGTTCTTTTCCAGGAACTGGACCCTCCTGATAAAATGTCAGCTCTACTTTGAGGAGGCAGCTCTTCCCCAGTTGTATTCTGAGTGCTTTCCAACTGGAAGGGCTCATCTTCCAGCACAATACCTGGAATATTCTGGTGCTCGTCATAATGTTTCAATATTCAATATTCTGATGCTTACATTGTCCCCCTGCTAGTCAGTGATTAAATGTCTGTAAGTAGTCTGTCTCTCCTTCTTCTTAGTCTGTCTTTTTATGGAAGCTCAGCTGAAACCTGTCTACAGTGGGTGACCCTGCTGGTATTTAAAATACCTGTGGCATAGCTTCCAGAATCATAGCCACAAGCAAGCCACCACAGTACCACAAACTGATGATATTAACAGCAAAGTTTTCAAAAACATAAAACAATATATGCCGGAGGGGATATGGAGAGATTGGAACCCTTCTACACTGCTGGTTGGACTGTAAAATGGTGCAACTACTATGGAAAGTGGTGTGGTACTTTCTCAGTAAGTTGGAAATAGAAATATTATATGACCCAGCAATCTCTCTACGTGGTAATATCCTCAATAAACAAGGGCTTTGACACAACTAGATCTATGCACCATGCAGCACCATGCACAATAGCAAAAAGATGGAAACAACCCAAATGCCCATCAACTAAACAAACTTTGGTACATACACACAGTGGGATATTCCACAGTGTTGAAGAATCTGCAAAACACTTGCCCACATGGATGAAGCAGGACATTATGCTGACTGAAATAATCAATCACAAAAGGACAAATATTGCTTGAGACCACTGTTGCAATAGTTAAGAAAATATTTTCTTGCTAAGTAAAACATTCTATGATAGTTACAGGGTAGGTGGGGAGTCAGGGGAGGGAAAAAACAGAGTGAATAGCAGTAGCTACTGTTAACTAAGGATATATGGAGAGGGTTGCAATCGTCATAATGACACAAAGTGTATCATTTGTTGATTGTAGGACTGATGATCTGTTCTGTAAACCTTCACTCAATTTGCAATAAAAAGTTAAAAAATAAATAAGCCTAACTGTAACCTTACAAACTAGACCAAGCCTTACTCCTAGCCCTAGCCACTAGACCTAGTCCTAACCATAACCTTAACACTAAATGACATCCGAGGTCTAGACTAAACCAAACCTAACTTTCACTCCTTACTCATACCCACCCACCAAAAAAGTGAACTCCTCATCTCTCTCCAAACCTCCCTGATTTCCCATCCTCAACCACCCCTAGACCAGAAGCCCAAATGCAGGCTCCTCTTGTTCTGTTCCTCTGGTACGCACAGTCCAATACAGAGCAGAAGGAAGTTCATAAATGCCTGCATCCTGCCTCCATGCACGAACCTTGCAGACAAGAGCTAACCAAACACAAGGGGCACAGACTAGACTGGCTTGGCCAGGTGAGGTCACCAGTGGGTAGGGGCAGCCAGGGGCTGACATGACACAGAAGCATCCACATCGATGGATTGGATGGCTCAGAACCTGAAAAGCAGCCTTGTCTAAGTCATGATATCCCAGACTTCACCTGTGTACCACTAAGCTCCACAGACCCTCTAATGCACTCCTCTTGAGAAGTACCGCCTGGGGCCCTGGAGACAGTCACAGCAACACCACACCAGACCAGTCCTGAAGGAAACCAAGGCAACGCAGGCTGGGAGCAACACTGATGCGGTGCCAATTCCAGCTGTACCACTCACTTGTCGGGTGACACTGAGCAAGTCACTCAATCTCTCTGAGTCCACATTCTCATCTCTGTGATGGGAACAATATTGCTTCAATCACTGGAAAATGCCATTATGACTGACCAAAGGTTGGATGGTAGAGGTGGTAGTGGTGATGTGCTGTAGAGTCAGTTCCAACTCACAGTGATCCTGTACAGGGTTTATGAGGCTGTCAATCTTTACGGGAGCAGAAAGCCTCAACTTTCTCCCACAGAACGGCTGGTTGTTTCGAACTGCTGACCTTGAGGTTCAAAGCCTGATTCGTAACCACTAAGTTACCAGAGTTCCTTAAAAGCTGGGTTGTTGTTGTTAAGTGCCATCGAGTCGGTTCCGACCCATAGCGACCCTGTACAGGGTTTCCGAGGCTGTAAATCTTTACGGGAGCAGAAAGCCTCAACTTTCTCCCACAGAACGGCTGGTAGTTTCGAACCGCTGACCTTAAGGTTCAAAGCCCGATTCGTAACCACTATGCTACCAGAGCTCCTAAGCAAGGGCTCTTTTAGGAACTACCCACTGCCATTAGATCAATTCTGACTCATAGCACCCTGGACAGGGTTTCTGAGGCTGTAACTCCTTCCTGGAGCAGAAAGCCTCATCTTTCTCCCACAGAGGGCTAGTGGGTTTGAACTACCAACCTTGCAGCTAGCAGTCCAGTGCTTATCCTACAATGCCACGAGGGGTCCTTTCGGGGTCAGGGACAGGTAATGAGAAGTATCAAGCCACCTCTCATTTAGAGAGAGAAAAAGAACATGCATGAACCACCATTTTTATGGCACCAACCAGAAGTTTTGTGCATATAATTTGTAAACAGGGTGGGAAAGGCTTTTCCATTAGAGCCATTTTTCAGACGAAAGCTACGGCTCAGTGAGGTGAGGTAACTTCCATAAGCCCCATGGCAGAGTCTGGACTTGGATCCTGACTTTGAGAAAGGGCTGAGCCATGGGCGGGGCAGCTCATTCCTACATGCTAAGGCTGCACTGGGCCTCCCAGGGACAGAATGCTAAGGGGACTCTACAGGGAAGGGATAAACAGGAAGGGGAGGAGTCGAGGCTGGGCAGTATGACACATGGAGGGACAGTGAAGGAGCGGGGAGGCTGCCGGGGACGCTATATAGTGCCTGTCTGCCAAGAGGCCTGAAAACTAGTTTGTCCTCTGCTCTGGACCCAGTCACTTCCTCTCTTGCCATCTCCCCACCCACATCCTTACAGGACCCCTTACTGCTGTGCAACTTCAGGCTAACCATTTAACCCCTCTGGCTGCCCCTTAGCAAAGGGAGGCCAATAACCCTGACCCTTTCCACCCCTCCCCCTTTCACTCCCCAGCCCCCAGCCTTGTCTTGGGCAGACATGACAGTCATTAGCACCACCAATTTCCGGCAGCACAGGATGCAATTTAGCTGCTGCAAGAATTAGATCCAAGAAGCTGAAAATGGGTGATGAGAAATCAGCTCTTGCAATTCTAGTGTTTCAGAGTTCAGAGGGCCCAGAGAGAAGTGAGTTGGATGAGGTCACACAGCCAGGCTGGTAGATAATGAAGGTTCTGGCTACTCTCCAGGCCACTTAGCAGCTGGGATGCTGGGAGGGTTTGCCTGCAGTGAGGACGCAGGGAGGTGGAGGCCAAGATGGGAAAGCCCAACTAGGCCCGGGCCCAGGAGAACAAAGGCCAGGCCTGGCTGGTTGAGGGTCTGACCCAATTTAGTATCTTTCCAGCCTCCCCCCTGCCAGTCAGACTGACCCAGCCTGCTTAGGCTCAGACTGCCCTCCTGTACCCTCCATCTGCCCCACCTACCTACTACTCTATGGGGCCTCGGGTCACTACTGTCTCTGGACCTTTCCATCCCCTGTGGTTCCAGG